TCTATACCCTTTGCTCTCGTTTATAAATAGACAAGATCTCTAGGAACTGAACATAAGAAAAATCACATATAAATAGACAGGACCTCTAAGGAATTACAGTTTTTCTCTCGATTCTTTTCTCTAACCATCAATCTAGATGTTCCTGTGAAAGGATAGAAAGAGAGGAGAAGGATCTAGTTCCTCTTTGCAGATTTACATCGATCTTGGATTAAAGATGATGCATTTGTAGATCAAGCAGAGATTCTTTTTTGAGATGATATCAAAAGGTACGTATCGTTAAATCAGATCTAATTATTTGATTTCAATCATGACATAAAAGATTATTTTCGTATTTAATACAACATATTATAAATTTTATGCTTACTGTTGGTTTAGACCGTCAACGTTTTGTATCGCTTTGTAACAAGATTAGAGTTCAAGATTGGAAGTAATTTTATGTTTTATTCTTATGACTTGTGAAACACATCTGTGTCATGGTTTTGTGCTGCCCTACACAATATCTTCTGGTCTCATTTGATAGTTATTATCAACAGCTCATCCGACGTCTGTGCTGTTTTTATTTGGTTTGCTTCATGAGTCAACTCAAGAACACATCTCAAAATCTGAGAGACTCTCACAGAGATGGATTCGTGTGGGTAACCGTGCAGCACGAAGCCAACTTTGATGTCCACGAAGACGGCACTCCAACAACTGCAATAAGTTTCTGGTTAGTGTCGTCGGCCGCTAATGGATTTTGTGGCCGACACACCGATCTATTTCTTTTTGTTTGCGATTAGACCAGAGAGTAGTCGAGTGGAACGAAGCACTTCTTGGGGGAATGGCATGTTGTTGTTGATCCCTTGTTGGTGGACTTACGTATGTATGTCCTTGGCAGAGTTCGTGGGGTTCTCCATGCTTCAAACCAAACTGATTAGGACCAGAAACATCCTGTTTTGGATATAACCTCATACACAATCTTACCATCCTACATTAGTTAACACTGATTTGCTTTGTGATGTTGGCATATAATGCAAGTCAAGAAACCCATAGAGATCAAGTGAATCACTTCTAGCCACCTGTTGATGGATGTATCATCAAATTAACTTGCCTTAGATTATTAGGGGTTTAGGTTTTATCCTACAAATTTTGAAGGTGTCAGCTACATTACTTAATCTCAATTTCGTTGCTTATCACTGCAAAAAAAGTTATATAAATCTATATATCAATTTACTTGCATAAAAAATAAATAATTCATCTTCTTCCTTTTTCTGTTGGTGTTGGATGGTTTGGCAGGAAGTTCCATTTTATAGCCATCATTTTCGTATTGATTTGAAGTAAGAGATCTTTCATTTGCTGCCGTAGAAGAGGGCAGAGCCTTCTTATTCTCGAGGGCTAAACACTAGTCGGTGGATCAGACACCTCGCTGATGGCTTCTCTGATAATTCAATCAGGTATCTGAACTTGAAGACAAGCCCATGATGAATGACAAGTTTACACATGTGTATTATATATATACATAATATCAAATCTTAACTGGTTTGACTGGAAAATGTAGATTAATTAAGCTGTCTTTTTCAAGCACAACATTTGTCAAGCTGTTTATATCTGAGCAAAAAACAACAGATAAATTCGATTGCATCTGAGCTTGTTGTTTTGTGTCTGGTTGTAGTGGCTGCCTCAGTTGTGCATTTCAATTTCTTTATGAAGCTTGTTGTGATTAGGGTTAATATATATTTTTTCCTTTTCTTTTCATGGTTACTGCTGAATCAAACTGACCTACGTAAACACAGAGAGGAGGAAGAAAATGCTGTATAAATCTGCTGCCAAGAACACTGTGTGAGAGTTTTGACATCCATGCTGCCTATCATTCATAGATGGACACTATGTAAGCAACGCATGAGCCTATCAAGGCTATTTCAAAGACGGATGCTCTTCATTACAGCAAAATGTTTCCAAGGGGGGGGTTATTCTTATGATGTGCAACTCAAAAGATTTGAGGATGGTTTTGATGCAAGATGTTGACGATTTCTTGACGCCATTAACGATACACAGGATAGCTCCTCAGTTTATTGTGACGAAAGACCATGCTGGCGTGCTGCCACTTGATCATTCATTTCTTCTCTTCTTTTTTCTCTTCTTTCTTCTCTTCTTTCTTCTCCTCTTTCTTCTCTTCTTTCTTCTCTTCTTTCTTCTCGTCTTTTTTCTCTTCTTTTTTCTCCTCTTTAGCCGGTCCAACTGATACTATATCGATCCTTCCCATCTTCTTCAACTTCTTAGCTATGGCAATTGTGTCCATCTCACCTATGATGGTCATCTTCTGCTCCTTCAGATCAGCTTCTATGAAATCAATGCCTGAGCCAAGAATCACATCGTATCTAATGGATAGCCCATAATAGTTTATATGTCTCAGTAATCTAAGATGCTCATATCTTGGGACAGCAACAAGTTTTCTTGGTAAATTTATGCGCCACTTTGATGGAGGTAATGTCAGACGATTTAGTTTTATATCTTGCATTATCAAAATAATTTTCTTCGAAGAAATCAGCTAAGTTAGTGAAAATAGACTAAGATGGAAGACCATATTACTGACTGTGAGTTCATTTTTCATTATTCTTTCTATAATAATTGTTTTGTTCTCATTTTGTTGGTAGCAGAGACGCAACTTTTCTTGTACTACTTATTCTGGTGCAAAAATAGTAATCTATTTAATGTTAGATTTCATTGGTAGGTGAAAATCCACAGGATCTGATAAAAGCATGGATTGGTTTCACCAAAAACGAAAAAAAAGAAGAAGAAAACTTACCAAAAGTCCAAATCAAGGGCTATATTTATATTTTGATTGATGTAATTAAAGCAATATTGTATAGTTTTTATGTGCAACCTCTGTTGTAAGATCTGAACTCTTCATTAACATCCCTGCTATCCTAATTATATGTGCAATAAGCTAGAAATCCTTTTGCAGTTTCTGAACTCAAATATTGATTGATGCTCCAACCAGAAGAAAGGCTCCTACTTGATCTACTTTAGTGCATCAATGATTTACCATCATATGAAAGGGTATGATGATGCTTGATGGAATATGAGGTAGAACAGGAACATACCATAAATCTCTGCCACAGCTCCGATGGCCTTCTGCTTGGTTTTGTCATCAACCATGGCCAGAACCTTCAAGACAACCTTTTGCTGTTCGAACCAGTGGATCCCAAAATTAACAGAGATGAAAGCTAAGCAACACACACACAACATTTACATCCATGCTACCAAAAGTAGCATGAAGAATGGTGCACACAAACCTGTGCCATCTGAAGAGGAAGGAGATCGATGACTGGCTCCGGTGAGTTCTAACAAATGAAATGAACCACTGAAGGTGGGAAAGGGAAGGGGAGGGGGAGCCTGTCACCTGCTGGTACCTTTAAAAGGTGTCGAGTTCCATTGTTCATTCTGAACACCATAGGGACTCTGCTATCCTCATACACTGCCGACGCAAGCTGGACCCTCTGGAGATTCGTGATAGGAGGACGGAGTGAACGCTGGACTTTTCTGGCTGACATTGTGGCCATGCCACATACACAGCGAGTCAGGTTTGGGAATGATGACAACAGGCGATTGTCAAAAAGGTTCATTGGCCATCCGCGAGAGATAAACTTTTCGACACCTTTAAAATATTCTCTTTCTTTATTGAATCAAGGAAGAATGAAATCAGCTACGAAACAAACAATCCAATTGTCCGCTTCTGCATTTGTTGTTTTCGACAGCCAGCTTTTTCTTTTTCTTTTTTCCTTTCTTCACGCTGCTGACTCCACTGGTTTCCGTAAGACACAAGTAAATGGAGGCTTACCTCATTTATTAATAAATTCATGGAAACTCATCGTTATTCTAATAATAATATAAAAATGAAGAAGAAGAAGAGCAGCCATTTTCCTAAGATATAAATTTTCCTCAATATCTTTTTTTTTTTAAAGATAAATGGTGAGGATGAAATTTGATCTCAAAATCTTACTATTAATAGTTAAGGCCTTACAATAATTTAAGTTAGCTAAAGTCTTTCTTTAAGAACCAATCAATTTTTTTTCCAATATTGCATTTAGCAAAATCAGCTGTCATCCCTAACCTTGTACCCATAGAACAAACTCATCGATCGAATTTTACTTCTTTTTTATTAAACGTTTTTTCTGTTACTAAATGTTAATTTCACGCTCATATAAATTGTGCTAGATATTGGCACTAAAAAATTTGATATTCTCGTGATGAATCTAATAAATTCTTTCACTACAAACATCATGTAAACATTTGCTTTGTAGAACTCAACCATTAAAAATTATTCATATAGCTATATGTAAGAAGTTGAGTGCGATGACGGAGAGGTCGAACAATCCTCCCATTATAGTACGAACGCTATTGGGTACCCATTTGAAACTTTCTTAAGTTTCGCCCCACAAAATACAAAACAAAAAACAAAAGAAACAAAAAAAAGGGAAAGTTTGGTCTATTGATACAGTGCAACCACAAAAGACATGCATGTGCAAGTGGAATGCAATTCGGCAACCAGAGTTTCAATTCATTCATAATTGAGTGATTGGCATTGGCACTCCCCATAGGCATCAACTCCTTTCGTCTCTTATGATACGAGTAGACATACCTGGATGTGTGCATGAGCTATATATCTATAGATATATCATGTTTATGATATGTAACCATTATACCACCTTTCTCTTTCCTCTTTCACATTTTACTCTGGTTGTGCAGTTGACAATGAGGTGTAATAAAGAGGCAGCAGAATGTGGTGCCAACGTATTGTCGCTGTGGGTTGTACAATAATGACACAGTAGACGGTAATCCAATGTAGTGAACAAAGTTAATTGTAAGTAGTTGCAATGTAGTTTCCACAGCAAAGATTCTGTAGCCATAAATAGTTTCTGATACCAAAAGAATGAAGTAAATTCTGTTAACAAAGAGGCAACAATATAATGAATCCAAACCTAAAGATAGAAGTAAATTCTGTTAACAAAGAGGCAACAATATAATGAATCCAAACCTAAAGATATTATATAATTCGTATGTTTCCAACGTCAAGGAAATGAGGTCATGGGAGATTTAAAACTCATGCAGGAGTAGCAAACGATGATGAGAGAGCAAACAGATTACATTCACTTCAACAGAGTTTTGACAATGGACTTGACATTGAGCTTCTTAAGGTCTGTGTAGGACTGGCCACAACCAACAAACATCACAGGAGCTCCAGAAACATAAACCATGGAAAGAGCTGCTCCAACCTGCACAAAAATTCCACTAGTTACAAAAGCCAAAAGAGAATGGGTAACAAACGATATATGTAAAAGCAACTTTTACAGCAAACAGTTGATGATGGCAACCTTATCGTCAATCGTATCGAACTTGGTGAGCAGGATGCCATCGATCAACCTGGCGTTCGGAACTGTGGACAGGTCCGCTAATTTCTGCAATGGTGTTGAACAAAGTAGTATGGACAGTCCAAACATGTAAATTTAAGATTGAAATAGGTATTCTTGCAAAATAGCCAGCAATATTCAGGAGTAAAATAGTTGACATACAGTAGTACCTGGTTAAACTTTGTTAACTGATCCACCGCATCATTTCCTACCAATGCCTCTCCGACAAAAAGAACCAGATCTGGGTTGTTGAGATTGATGAGCTTGGAGAGTGCCCTCATGAGTGGCTCGTTATCCTATATGTGAGAGGAAGAAGGTTACAGAAAATACATCTCCAAAGTGTTCAGAAAATTAAATGGTCCTCAAACAACTAAGCAATCTTACCTGCATACGGCCAGCTGTATCAACAAGAACAACATCTGAATTGTTGCGTTTAGCCTCCTGGATAGCTTCCTTAGCTACAATTGCAGGATCTTTCTCATAGCCTTTCTCAAATATAGGAATCTGCAAAGCATTTTAGGTATCACAATGTTACTCCATTCAACTTTCTTATCACTGAAATTGTAATATTGCTCATGTCGCACCAAAATCAGAATATTACTTGTACATGTGCATCAAAGTCTGTTGGCTAATGTTATTTTAATTTTAATCATTTGACTACCTGACTTGACCAGAAAGCAATACATCTCCTAAATATTAACCTAGTGTTCAACACAAAAACCAGAGAAGAAAGGTTCACCAGTCAATGCTATATTGGTAGAAAGACACCAGGTATTGTGATAATTCAAACATGTTTTCTGAAAGTGGCTAGACAGTTGTCTGGTGAACATCTTTGACAGTCTCTATGCATATAACAAGCTCCTACCAACAAACAATAATAAACAAAGGAAAGATGGCATACTCTTAGTAAAAAAACAACAAGATTAAGAGAACAGTAGCACCACTCCATGAATAAACTAAGATAAAAGGAGAGAAACATAGCATACCTGGAGTCGGCGTGCATGTGTGCGGAGCTGTTCAACAGCACCTGACCTAAATGTATCACATGCTGCCAGCATGACATTAATGTTGTGTTGCAAAAGCCAGTATGCAACCTACAAAAGAGAAAAGATACCTTAGATATGGAACAATACTAGTTGAGTTTGGCATATAAAAGAAATATGCTTTACTTTGGCAAGATTAGTAGATTTCCCAACTCCATTGACACCAACAAAAACAACAACATAAGGTCTTCCTTGCTCCTTAGCAGCATGGACATCCCGCAAAATGTCAATGGACCGCTTTGGAGTTAAAATGCGAAGAAGCGCCTCTTCCATAGCTGTCTGCAAATGTTATCCAACATTAACATATGAGGTTCTGCAGGACACCTGCCGCTAAATGGAACCTGCAACAGAAAACACACACACAAAGAATGCAACACGGTCAACAAACCTGGACTGTTGAAGAAACTCTGGTAAAGGAGCCCAGCTTCATCCCTTCAAGGCTAGCTGCTACTGATTCACAAAGCTTTTCAGCAATTTCCTCAGCCTAAAAGTACCATGATAAAGTAACTCTAAGCCAAAGTGAGTAGCAAACCCAGCTCAAACAAGCATCATAATTTCATGTACATGCAAAAGAGCAGCAAGCACATGAGACCAAGCACATAGCCACATACCACATTTTTAGTCATCAACCGGTCCTTGAGAGCTTTCAGTGCTGGTTGCAAATCAGATTTCTCTAACACAGCATTGCCTGAAATGCTGAAACCAAGAGAATTCACCAAACAAATTATTAATTGTCAATTGCAGTTGCCTGAGATTGTATGAGTTAGCAGTTAAAGTTGTAAAAGAAACAAACTGAAAGACCACTGTGGATCTGAAGATTGTTTTAATTGCAAAATCACTGGTATGATCACTAATTATTGCAAAGTCTCTGTTTTTTTATCACTAAGAAGTACTATGGTGGGTATAATACTATTTACACCACAAGCACATTAATTTGATGAATGTAGAGATGGAATTCTAGACTAAGCACCAGAAAGAGTATCCATGTTGTGCAACTATGAATGGATGCTATATGCAATGTAATTTTAACCTTAATTCCATCATTTGACAGAGAAGAAAATCTGCAGTAAGCCAAAACATGGTTTCTAGGATCTCATATAAGTTAGCAAACATATATCTAAAAGAAATATTTTCTAAAGAAACCTCTATACCAAGTTAAGCTTGAAGGTTATGTAGATCTCCCACTTTAAATAAGAGCAGTGGAATTTGAAACACTCTATCAATGCTTGAAAGGAAGAGGTATAATTTATCATCAGATTCATGTTTATCATTTCCAGAGACACCACATCCATCACAAGGAAAGATGGACCTACATGGACTATGCTAAAGCATGCCAGGTCCCAAACAAATGAATCAGCAGGTTCCAGTAACTTAACTGATGATGCTGCCCTCAACAAATTACAATGGCAAGAACAGATCCAAGCAGATGATTGGCTCAATCCCAAAACAATTGTAATGGCCTGTTGTTATTGCTATAGTAGTATCCATCCCATTAGTAAGAGAAAAAACCTATTTGAAACTTGCCCTACATCTTTGAAATATATTTCTTGAGATACTTTATTTCCTCGAGTGGCTTGAAACTCTTGTCCTTATTAATGATTAGCTCTAAGATAATAAAGCAAAAATAAACAAGAACCAAAAGGCAACCTTGTGCACCACCCCACAATTTTCTCTTCCAGAAAAGTGATCTGTTATATCTGCTACATGGAGTTAGGGATGATAGACATTTGAGCTCTCCATAAAGTCTCACGAAACAATCTGGCAATTCTGATGAATAAAAGAACAAAAAAGCTGACCTATCTCTCTAATAGATAAAATATGACCAACGCACTGAAATGAACAGCTAGGGCAATTCTGTCAGGCATCCTACTACATTGTTGAATGTGTTGTTGATAATAACTAATCCATTGAATTTACAGAAAATGAAATTTCAAATATGGTGGGTAACACTTGAATGATGCAACAAGAAAAGAATCAAAATATTCAATCTACAGCTCAACATTGGATTATAAAAAAAGATGAGTTATTAAATTAAATAATAAGACATTACTACAGAAGGGGATGAAATGCTGATATAAAAAAGAACAATAGTTCCACATGCAACATTTAACATACAAGAAAACTATTCAGCTATATGAGCATCAGTTGATAAGGAACCATACAAAGAGATAGAAAGATCTGGGACATTTAAGTCATGTCCAGAGTAACTAAGAGTAATGTGTTTGGAAAAGCCCTTACGATCATAAATAGACTATTTAAACAGGGAAGACGACGAATCCCATCAAAGCAACTGACAGTACAAGCCAACAAGTGAAATATGCACACCAAAATAGTCACTAAATTGAAACAAGAAGGCACCCAAATCGAAATTGTTACCTCTGAAGCATAGACGAAAACCAGCCCTTCTTCTTGATGCCAGGCTTCTCGTTCTCCAATTCCTCATCTTCCTCATGCTCACTGTCGCTGCTCACGACTTCCTCTTTATCCATCATGCTCTCTCCCTGATCTGCTGCCACAACCTCGGCATGCCCTTCCCCTCTCTCATTCGCTGGATCCGTGTAATCCAGTCTTGACTCGGAAGGCGAATCATCCCAAACCCTATTTTTCTTCAGAGTCTTCGTCGGCTCTGCCTTGGCAGCCTTAGTGCCACCGCCACCAGTATGCGACTTCTTCCCACCTTTGGATCGCAACTTTTGTAGCTTATTTACATCGAAAGCCCCAATGTCTGGGGCTCCGTTCTCTTTTCCCTTTACAACAGTATTTGGGGCGCGAGAATTCTCCTTAATTCCGTTCTCTTGCCCGTTCGAACTACCATTCGCTAACCAACGCCCCTTTCCTGAATCGCCATCAGACTCATCTTTCCCAGAACCACCACCATTGCCGCCGCCACCACTGCTTCGTTGCTTCCCCGAGCCCCTGGCGGCGCCACCAGGGGCTTGCTTCTTGCTGGGCGCAACGGGGACACGGCCGGCCTGCTTGGACTTCCGCATCTCCTCCGCCCGAGCCTCGGCCTCCTTCTGGAGCTGGCGGAAGATCTCATCGAAATCACCATAGGAGGTGCGCTTGGGGTCATAGATCTGGGAGAACTCGCGACGGG